TCTTGCCCATGCCTTTCACCTCTGCTCGCTGTCCTAAAGCCGATGTGACATGCTTCACCGGTGACGGTTCGAGTTCGGTGAGCAAGTCCGCACGAGGTGTCATGTTGTAGGTAGTGCCGCTATCGATCACCCAATAGTCCAGGGAGTGTAGGGTCACCTTCCTCACAGCAGCAGGCTTCTCAAAGCTTTCATCCTTTTCTGGTGCAGCCGGTGCTTGCGTCGACACAAAGAAGAATTGACCCGGAAAGCGATCGTCCCTCGACTCGCTCTCGTTCTCACCGTTCTTCATACTTGCAGCACCACCTCCGCGACCGCCACGGCCTCCACGGCCTCTTCCTCTCCCTCCTCCCGCTCCTCTACCCTCTTGGCCTTGAGCAGGGGTCCATGCATCAGGGAGCTTGAAGCAATCGCGCCACATATGTCCACTCTTGTGACAATAGTGGCACTCGCCGTCGAATCGGCCGCGACCGCGTCCGTAGCTCTTGTTGTCGCTGCCGTATCCGCCACTCCCGCGGCCTCCATTGAAGTTGTTGCTGCCAAATCTGCCTCCCCCTCGTCCTTTGCCCGTTCCACATCCATACCCTCGGCCGATGCTTGCTGCCCCGGCGCCATTCGCACTCGCCAACTCACGGCGGCGGAAGTCCTCTTGAATGATCGCTCGCTTCACGTCTTCAAGCAAGAGCCGGGGCAAGTCACGATTGAGGTTGATGATGAGCGAGGACCATGACTCTGGGAGTAAGGCCAGCAACTTGGTATTCTTTTGGAGCTCACTGTAGTTCAAATCAGCTCCCTCAAGCCGCGTCAACAAGTCGAAGAATTTCTGCACCCCTTCTTCAACCGCTTCGTCTTCTTCAATTCGTAGTGCCGCCATTTGCCGTTCCAACACCACCGCTACCACCGCTGTTGCAGGAGCGTGTACACCTTTGAGAGCAGCCCATGCCTTTGGTCCCTTCCCTGGTTCATGCTGGAATTGCTTGATGTGACGGATCTGGCTGCTCCCCAACGCTTGCCCAAGTAGGAGATAGCCTTGTGCGCTCTTCCGCACCCACGGGCTCTTCTCCGGGTCGTTCTCGGGGCGCTTCTCCATTCCTTCCATCACCTCCAGCAGGTCATAGTGGTCAAATGCATGCTCCATTCTGAAGGACCATTCAGCGAAGTTGTCGCCATTGAACTTGTCAAGCCCAAACACCCTAGGCTCATCCCTAGGTGGGCCAAGACTTGGTTGCATGGGCGCCATGGCAGAATCGCGGGGTTGGCCTTGACCTATGGCTTCTCCACTGCCATCAGCACCTCTGCCACCTCTTTCCTCAGGTCCAGCCATTGTCGAAACTGCTCCAAGGGGCTCTGATACCACTTGTTATAGTCACAATAGGCTTGAATGTGCCTAAAACGAAAGATAGAGTGCACAGACGGATTTCTGCACAGCGGCTTCAAACGTTGATAGTGTCTGGTCACAGCTTCAAATGACCTGATTCAATTTGGATCTGGAGCGTCTTAACTTCGCCCACAATAAGCAATTTAGATTGCACAATTTCATTCAGAATTGACGACACAGCGTCGGTTTGAACGAACGGTACTATGGCAGCCACTATAGTCTTAGAACACAAATTAGGAAGAGTTACAAGTTGGGAATGACTCCCAGCTCCTACAAACCCCAAGAGCCAAGGTATAGTGATGTGGAACAGTGCCACACTGTCCCCAACCACGAAGGGTCTCGAAACTACCCTCCACAAAGGCCTACACCAAGAGAAATGTTACACTACAAAAAGTAATGCAACTATTCTCACTATCTTAAAGTTTACCCTTTTGGAGAGCTTCGAAATCACTTGATTCTTGAAACCAAGGCTCTGGTTCTTCAAGATAAATTCCTCCTTGAGTTCTTGGAAGTCTGCTGCGCACACTTGCGACACGCCGAACGTTCCACACACGACAAAATAGAAAACTGCGCACGACACGCAAACGACGACGTGACACGCGACTAGCGATAACTCGCTATTGACTCGACAAACACATTCAAAATCATGCCTCATCATTCACACACTATTGTAAGCATTAAATATATATATTATTGCATGCCCTCATACCATTCCATGCACACACGCATGCACGCACACGGACAACAAGCCGAATGCAAACCGTAGGGTTGCACCAACAGTGGGCAGTGCAGCCAGATCTCCTCGTGAAGGATGCCCTGCAAGAAAGCTGTAGAGAAGTTGAGGGAGTGCAGCTCGTAGTCACGCTGTGGTGCAACGTGCAGCAGCACCCGAAGAGTAGTCATCTTCGGGGTGGGGGAGAAGGTCTGGAAGAAGTCGACCCCCTGTCGCTGACAGAAGCCTCGAGCAACGTAACGCGCCTTGAAGGCAGGCGGAGAACCCGACGGTCGCTTCACTCTGAAAATCCACATGCCATCGACTATGTCGACGTAGGTGCCTGTGGAGGAGAAACCTTGTCGACGTAGGTGCCTGTGGACTTCGAGGAAGCCATCTCTGCGTTCATGGCTGTCTGCCACTAAGAGGAGTACTTACCCGCGATCGCCTCAGCGTAAGAGCGCAGGGTAGGGATGTCAAGTGCATGCGGGTCTCCCTCAGGGCAAAGCAGCATGGATGCGAAACGAGGTAAAGCGGCCGCAAGACACTCAAGCTCAAACTGCCTGTCCTCAAGGACGTCACTGCTAAGGGCAGGCTCACCCCCGACGGACGGAGGTCGGACACACTTGGACTCAGTAACAAGACTAGCGACGTAGTCGAGACGACTCCTAGCTGCAAAGTCGACTAGCTCAGTGACTAGGGCAAACTAGCAGTAGACTCAAATTCAGGGTCAGTGACGACAGTAGCGAGGAGACGAGTGACAGTAAGACTGGCAGCATGAGCAAGGTCGGACTCAGGGTCAGGAACGTGCGGAAGAGAGGACACGGGAGGCTCAAGCAGGACAACATGCTGTGGAACAGAGGAAGGACGAAGTGCCATACCGTGAGTGCCTGGGACAACAGGAGGACGAGGACGGGCGACACGACGAGCACAAACAGGGGTGGAAGCACGAGTCTCAGGCTCACGACGCTCAGACAGGGACTCAGTCACCTCAGTGTGAGGAGCAGGAGCAGGCAACGGGGAGCCAGGAAGAAGCTGTGGCTGAGACTGGACTGTCGGTGGACACAGGAGAGGTGTAGTGAGGCCAGTGGAAGACGGGAGACTAAGAACCTGGCGAAGGACCGAGTCAGGCGGCGGCAGGGATGACTGCGGCTGCGGGTAGAAAAACAGTCGGCGCGGGGCAGTACTAGCAGCTCCAGCTCCTCCAGCACCAGCAGCACCAGCACCTCCAGCACCAGCAGCTCAAGTAGCACCTCCAGCACCAGCAGCACCACGAGCTCCGGCAGCGCCAGCACCTCTAGTACCTCCAGCACCAGTACCTCCAGCACTTCCAGTACCAGCAGCTCCAGTAGCACCTCCTGCACCTCCAACACCAGTAGCACCACATGCTCAGGCAGCTCTAGCACCTCTAGTATGAGCACCTCCAGTACCAGCAGCTCCAGCACCTCCAGTACCTCCAGTACCTCCAGCTCCAGCGCCTCCAGCACCAGCAGTACCTCCAGCACCTCCAGTGCCAGCAGCTCCAGTAGCACATCCAGCACCTCCAGCACCAATCGGCCTGGGTTGCGCGGGCAGCAGGGCGCGCGCTGTGCAGGGCAGCAGGGCGCGACGCGCGGGCTGCAGTAGGGCGCGACGCGCGGAGCAGCAGAGCGCGACGCGCGGGCTGCAGCAGGGCGCGACGCGCAGGGCAGTAGGGCGCGAACCCTGCAGACGCAACCCTGCAGACGGGGCGCGCTGGGGCAGGAGCTGCTCGCGGGCAGAAGGGGCACGCAGGGCAGGGGCTGCTTGCGGGCAGCAGGGGCGCTCGGGGCAGGGGCTGCTCACAGGCAGCAGTGGCGCGGGGCAGGGGCTGCTCGCAAGCAGCAGGGGCGCGCGGGGCAGGGGCTGCATGCGGGCAGCAGGGGCGCGCGGGGCAGGGGCTGCTCTCGGGCAGCAGGGGCACGCGTAACAGTCGGGCAGCGCGCTATGGCAGGCAGTGCGAGTAGCTGCAGGGCAGCGTGACACTGTGCGAGAGGGCCGGACAACGCAAGGGCGCTTCGGGTAGGAACTAGCAAAACGATCGGTGGGCCCTAAAATCTTAACAGGTTTCCTGCTCTGAATACCATATCAGAATAACAATGCAGGAATGAATGAACTATGAATGAGTTGGGTACAAGTACTAACCCTAAAGTGATGTACCACTTGTAGGCTAACCCACTGTAGCCTAGAGAGAACACAAACATATAGTTTGACAGTTTTCAATGGTCCAGAATTTATAGTTGAACTCTTCTGGCAACAATTAGTTACGTGCTAGGAGTTGTCTCCTTCCTCTGTTGAACTCTCCCTCTTTTGTTCATTATAGTAATATTATTACTGGTACTTTTCATTGTGGCAGAGGCGCAGAACTGTCAAAGTGTGTTTGTAACATTTGTGCTGTTACGGTACATTGGTTAGCCTAAGTTAGGGTTAGCCTACCGGTATTTGTACCTGCATGCCCTTTCAGTTCATCGTTCTGTTGTTCTCAACTTCTGACAAGGACTTGTAATCATGGACTCTCTCCTGTCACAATCTCGACGGGCTGCTGTTTTGATTTCCATTTAACGTACCTGTTGTGCCGAACTCGCTTTCTTACTCTGAATTTGGTAGGCTGAACTCAAGACTCTTGTTACGAATCACGTTACGGTGTGATAGCAAAGGTTAAAACGAATAATCCAGCCGTTGAATCTATAGCAGTTCAATAAGCACAGTCTATAGCGCAACACGACCTTGACTTGACCAAACATTGAGACCAATTCGCCCAGCAAAAGTTGAGTGAGGCCAATTCGCTCTTGACATCCAAAATGGCGAGTTGCTATCTTCTAAACAAAGGAATCAACTGACCTACCTGCCTGTCACTGCTGATGTATTGTAGCATGCTGACGTGGGTCGCATTACATGGCTGTCCCGCTTTCTACCCTCACCTTCCTCTGCCTCTCGCTCAACCTCACGGTCTGCCACGTCTACAAGGCCTCGCTGGCCTCGTGTACAGCCAGTGACACGTCAGCCACGCACACCTGTCCCTATCCCCCATGGACGGCTGTAGTAAGCGTCACGTGGCCGCGGAGCGGAGACAGCGCCGCCGCGTGCAGCCAGAGGCTGCTGGTCCGCGCAGCTTCCGCAATCTCCGCCACCGCGCGCGACATTGCGCGGGAAAGGGGGGATTGCAGGTGCGCGCGCGACATTGCGCGGGAAGGGGGAAGTAGAAGGTGCGGATGTGACACACTAGCGCGCGCAGAGGGCGTTGGCATGAGGGATCATGCTTCTGAGTTGCTTCTGAGAAGGCTAGGACAACCCTGCCGCATTGGGAATGCCGTGGGCGCAGCCAGGGTTTCTAAGACGCCCGCGTTTCGCGCGTCTTCCCCTCCAACAACCCCCTTTTTTGCCCCTTTCTTAACTCTCGAAACACACCCTCAAACCCCACTCCATTCCCCCCTCCCCCCCGCCTCACTCCCCCCTTCTTCCCGCCACTTCCGCTCCTCCGTGTCCAACCCGCTGTCCCGCTCACCCTGTGCTGCCGTAGCGCCAGCTGGCTGCCTGTGATTGGTCAAGAACCGTTGTTTCTGTCGGAGCAGTGGAGCGAGCAGGTGCTGCAGGGCAGCCCGTGGCGTGCCACGTGTCCCTCGCCCTTCCTCAAATCGGGTGAGCGGGGAGGGGAGAGAAAGGGGTGGAGAGGAGCATGGGAAGGGTGGGAGCCGGTGGGAGAGGGGGAAGAGAGAAGGGCGGGGAGGAGGGACGATAGCAAGGGTGAGAGTGTTGCATGGCATTGATTGCTGGGGGGATGTACTGATTCCTGCATGCACGGCATGGCATCCTTTCATCTGTAATGCCCATTCCCTTCTTCCCCCCTCCTCTTTCTCTTCCTCAACCTTTCACTCTCCATCTCCCTCTTTACGCCCACTATCCACCTGCATCTTTCTTCCTCTCTCTCCCCTCCCAACCCACTCGTCTCCCTATCAGGTGCCTCTCTCCGCCTGCTGCCTCCCCCCAGCCTCTCCGTGCAGGGGGGAGGGGAGGGGGGAGCGGAGAGCGCGGAGGGGAAAGTGCTTTGGGGAGGGGAGGCAGCTGAGGAGATATGTGTTATTGTATCGAGGGGTGAAAGAGGGAGAGGGCGGAGGGGTGGTGAGGGAAGGAGGGGGCGATGGGAAAGTGATGAAGCTTGGAGGGAGAAAGCAGCAGAGGGGATGGGTGAGGGTGTGGGTGGGGGAAGAGAAGTAGAGAAGACCGAACAGAGCACTTTGGACCTTTCAAGGCGAGAGATAGGGGAGGAACGGAGGAAAGAGAGAGTGGAGGAGCGTGTGAGAGTGAAAGGGAAGGGAGGGAAGGAGAAGAAGGCAGGGAAAAAAGGTAAGGAGAAGAAGGAAGAGAAGAGAGGGAAGGAGACGGAAGGGAAGGAGAAGAAGGAAGAAAAGAAGAAGAAGAAACGGAGTGAAGAGAAGGAGAAGAAGGAAAGGAAAAGAGGGAAGGAATTAAAGGAAGGGAGTGGAGGGAAGGAGAAGAGAGAGAAGGAAGAAACAGTAGGGAAGGAAGGGAAGGGAAGGAAGGAAGGGGAGGAAAGGAAGGGAGGGAAGGAAGGGAAGGAGAAGAAAAGAGGGAAAGAAGGAATTCCAACGCAAGGAAGGTCAAGAGGCAGCAGCGAGGCAGCACCTTCTGACGATGACCCTCATGCTCTCATAGAGCTGGTATGTGCATCGACTCCCTCATGTGCCTTCCTTTCCTCGTGCACTTCCTCTTCTCCTCTGCTGATATGCACAGCAAAGGCGGGCTGATGTGATGTGAGGATGCACCATGATCGCATGCCTTCCTGCTTCCTATCTTCAACGCGGTGCCATGCTGCTTCGTCAAAGGAGCTTTACTGTGGCTCGTCTGCAACCCATTCTCATCGTCTGCAACCCATTCTCATCACCCGCAACCCATTCTCATCACCTGCAACCCATTCTCATCACCTGCAACCCATTCTCATCACCCGCAACCCATTCTCATCGTCTGCAACCAATTCTCATCGCCTGCAACCCTTCAAGCTGCTTTGACAGAGTCAAATCCTTTCACTTCCGTTCCTTGCCCAACCCCCCCAATCAGGGTGAGTCTCAAATGGCGTCCAATCAGATCCGAGCGGCACTCGACTCGTTCAGCCGAGCTGTTGCTATGATACCAAACGATGTGGAGGCGTGGCGGCTGCAGGGGTGGGGGCACAAGGAGGCTGGCAACAGGCGCGAGGCAGAGGCGAGCTTCAGTAGGAGCGTTCAGCTGAATGAGAGGTGCGGCTGTTGAGAGTGCTTGGCGTGTGGTGCTATGTGTGATGCGCGTGGTGCGTGTGTGGGCATGCATGGAGATATGCATGCGTGTGAAAGCACACAGCGACAGATGAAAGGGGTTTTTGTTCGCCCCCGCTCTCCTCTTTTTGTCAAGCGCAGGCCTCATCGGTCCTTCCGCCGTTTCGTTAGAATTCCGTATCACTCTGTAATGAAACCCTCCTCCATCTCTCCATCTCATTCCCCTCGCCTCCCTGCTGCTGTTTCCTTGCAGCTTCCTGCCTGCACTGATCATGTGGGTGGAGCTGAGGCACGTGGCAGGCGACCACAGGTGCGGATAGGAAGGAAGGGAGGGGGGAGGAGGGAGGAGGGGGAAGAAGGAAAGACGGGCGACGAGGAAAGAGAGGGGAACTGGAAAGAAGGGGGATGGGGAAAGAGAGGGGTGAGAGAGGGGCGTCTTGTGAGGCGCCTCGAAAGTTTATTGATTGGGTGAGGCAGCTGAGGTGAGGCATCCAGCAAGCAGCCTAAAGTTCCTTGTCAGACAGGGATGTGCCCCTCTTATACAGTCTTCAATCTCCCCACTTGTTCCGCCAAACCCTGCATGCATCGCCTGCCTGCCTTGCGTGAATTGATCTCAGGGGCGCGTTGAAGCTGCTGGAGACGGCACTGCGGCACCACCCGGCAAGCGTGCAGCTCAGATACTTTGAGGCCTCCTGCCACCACGCTGTGGGGAACTTCGTTCAAAGCGTAAGCCCTGCTTACACCTCCAAGCCTGTTGGTACCATTCGTGTGGAGCCTTTCCCTTTGCACTTTTCCCCGTGCGAATATCTTTCCTCCTCTTGTAGCACAAGTCCTCTCTGTACATGCTCTCGCTCTCTCGGCTGCTTTCGAGGCGCGTAAATAATAAAATTCTTCCTCCTTGCGTTCCTTCTCTTGCAAGGTCACTCACTGCAAGCCATTTCTCTCTAGGATCGCAGTAAGACGCAAAAGGAATCCGTTCCTGCCCTTTCCCTTGTGTTGTGCAGATCACTTTATACAACAACGTGCTTTCACTCTCGCCACAGCAACACGAGCAGGCTTTTGTCTTCCTCGCGTTCTTCCAAGTGAGCCCACAGCCGCAGCCCTCGTTCTTCCGTAGTGTGCCCTCGTTTTAAGCAGCTGCTAGGGTGTTCTCATGTGCGCTAGAGTGCAGCTTGTTGTGTGGTCGTGATGCTGTGATTGAGGAGGCTTGTGTGAAGACTGGAGCATGGTTGCACGCCCCCAGTCTTTACGTGCCATGTCCTCTTGTTCATCCTTGCCTCTCCTTCCCCCTGCTGTCTCGTCTTCCCTCTGCTGCCTCTCCTCCCCCCTGCTGTCTCGTCTTCCCTCTGCTGCCTCTCCTCCCCCCTGCTGTCTTGTCTTCCCTCTGCTGCCTCTCCTTCCCCCTGCTGTCTTGTCTTCCCTCTGCTGCCTCTCCTCCCCCCTGCTGCCTCTCCTTGCCTCTTCCTTTCATATCTCAACAGAGGGAGGTGGCGACGCACATGGCAATGGTCATCAACGACCCCTTTCCTGCCTTCAGCATCAACGACCGTTTCAGCAGCGTCTTCAAGGTGAGGCAGCAGCGAGCAACTCCGCAATGCCCGCAGCATATCACGCGCGAGTGCCATGTGATTCATCCACTGCACTCATTCCTTCCGAGGCACTTCACTTCACAACTGTGCTGTGATTCGTCGTGACTAGCACACTATTCCCAGTGCTGCTTCCAACCATCAAAGAAGCGTCCTTCTCCTTCCTCCCCCTCTCTCCCTTCTTCTCTCCCTTCTTCTCTCCCTTCTCTCTGTTGGCAGGAGGGCTGGGCGCGTGCATTCCACCCAGCAGAAGTGATGCAGAGAGGCTATGCCATGCTCGCCGACTCACACGCCCTCCTCTCCTCCCTGCAGCGCCGCCAGCTTCTTCTCGTGCAGCGAGCTGAGGAGGAGGGGCGAGAAGAGGATGAGATGAAGCAGAAAGGGAGGAGGGCAGAGAGGAAAGGGAGGAGGGCAGAGAGGAAAGGGGTCGGAGCAGGGGTTTCCTTGGCTGATAGGAAGAGGGAGCTGCTGACGTGGGCGGATTCGATTGGCCGGCGCGTGCATTACAATGTAACGGGGTTTGTGGGCAACCCGAGGCAGCAGCGGGCGGCAGGGCTGGCAGCAGTTGAAATCATGCAGAGAGTTAGAAGGGCGTGGGGGGAGTGGATGGGGGGGGGGCGGGTGGAGAGGGGGAGCAGCGCGGAGGAGGTGGAGGAGGGGGTGGGGGTGGGGTGGAGGGACGTGTACGGCATGGGAGTGAGATGGCGCCAGATTGCCGAACCCATCGACCCCATCTTGTGGATCGACGGACTAACGTGAGTCATGGGGCTCTCATATGTGTTACATGGGGCTCTCATATGTGTTACATGGGGCTCTCATATGTGTTACATGGTAACCACGACCCCATCGTGTGGTTCGACGGCCTCACGTGAGTCGCCTGCACTGCACTCGGTTTGGCTGTGGCACACATACATTACATATACGGGCGTTCATACGGTTGGGCGGGGTTGGATGTGGTTATCAACCAGTGGGGAAACTTGCTGAGCAGTGCTTCTGCCCTGATCTTTCTACTTTCTTCTTCTTCTCAACATCAAAGCCACTCTCTCACTGTGTGCTCTCCTCCCCTCTCCCCCAGGAGGGAGTCATTTGAGAGTGGCTTTGGGTCCACCACGCCCATGGTCTCTGGCCCCGCCCACAACATCCGATACGCCATGCACGCTCCCAGGTGCGTCCTTTTCTACCAGAGATTTTAGGGGTCGTGTAATGGGCTGCTGGTAACAGGTAACATCCGCTACGCCATGCACGCTCCCCGGTGTGTCTCGTGCTGCCGGTGCCATTTTGGGTGACGTAATGGGCTGCTGGGAACCAGGGGTCTGGGAACAGGTAGCATCCGATACTGCATGCACGCTCCTTGGTTGTGTCTCGTGCCAATGGCCCAACGCCGGGTTCCATACGGTGGCGCTGGTAACTGGGGAGTGGTAACAGGTGAAATCAGATTCAGCGTGCACGGTCCTTAGGGCTGCGTGATGGTTGTTGTGCTTGCTCCACCACAAGGCATCCCTCGCTTTAAACATCTCCCCCTCTCACTCTAAGCACCGCATGCCCCACCCTCATGCCTGCATCCATCCCTCTGCCCACAAGCAGGGCGCTTGAGATGGGGAAAGCCATTATAGGGGAGCAAGGCAAGGTGTACCGAGGGGGGAAGAAGAGATGCCTCACTCACTCGAACCAACCAAGCGCCTCACTCCATCCATGTCTCTTTCCCTCATGCCCCCATCCATCCCTCTGCCCACAAGCAGAGCGCTTGAGATGGTGAAGGCCATCATTGGGGAGCAAGGCAAGGTGTACCGAGGGGGGTACGAGGAGATCGTTCTTTCCCAGCATGCCCTGCAGCAGGTGAGCGTCTCTTATCCTTTTGAGGACCTGAGATGAGCATTGGTTTAGATTCCAGCATATGATACACCTGTATCTTGCAGCAGGTGAGTCTCTGTTTGAGCCTCTGTTGCCTTGAGCATATTGGTGCTGTAAACAGGGTGAGTGCTGAGATAGCTACTTTGTCAGGTGATCTTCTGGTATCATGAGCATAGCAGTACTGTAATCAGCAGGGTTTATAAGGTTTGCGTACTTGCATGCCCATTTGCACATGTATATGTGTTACTATCCGTTGCTATGTCTGCAGATGTGTGTGCATAACATGCCATGCCATGCCATCCCATCCCATCCCATCCCATCCCATCCCATCCCATCCCATCCCATCCCATCCCATCCCATCCCATCCCATCCCATCCCATCCCATCCCATCCCATCCCATCCCATCCCATCCCATCCCATCCCATCCCATCCCATCCATGACACCTCCCACCCCCTCCCGTTCTGCATCAGGTGGCAGCAGCCTCGGACCACACCCATCTATGGCACGCAGTGCAACAGCCATTCTTTGTCTTCACTCCTTGCCACAGCACTGCCTCCCCCAAGTAAGCCCTTCATCTTGATTGTCATCCTTCCCCAGTTAAGCCTACCTTCATGATTAGCTTCCACTCGCTTCACCTTTTACTGTAATTTTTTTTTGCCTGCCTCTCTCCCTTCATGTCTGCCTCTCTCCCTTCATGTCTGCCTCTCTCCCTTCATGTCTGCCTCTCTCCCTTCATGTCTGCCTCTCTCCCTTCATGTCTGCCTCTCTCCCTTCATGTCTGCCTCTCTCCCTTCATGTCTGCCTCTCTCCCTTCATGTCTGCCTCTCTCCCTTCATGTCTGCCTCTCTCCCTTCATGTCTGCCTCTCTCCCTTCATGGCTGCCTCTCTCCCTTCATGTCTGCCTCTCTCCCTTCATGTCTGCCTCTCTCCCTTCATGTCTGCCTCTCTCCCTTCATGTCTGCCTCTCTCCCTTCATGTCTGCCTCTCTCCCTTCATGTCTGCCTCTCTCCCTTCATGTCTGCCTCTCTCCCTTCATGGCTGCCTCTCTCCCTTCATGTCTGCCTCTCTCCCTTCATGTCTGCCTCTCTCCCTTCATGTCTGCCTCTCTCCCTTCATGTCTGCCTCTCTCCCTTCATGTCTGCCTCTCTCCCTTCATGGCTGCCTCTCTCCCTTCATGTCTGCCTCTCTCCCTTCATGTCTGCCTCTCTCCCTTCATGTCTGCCTCTCTCCCTTCATGTCTGCCTCTCTCCCTTCATGTCTGCCTCTCTCCCTTCATGTCTGCCTCTCTCCCTTCATGTCTGCCTCTCTCCCTTCATGTCTGCCTCTCTCCCTTCATGTCTGCCTCTCTCCCTTCATGTCTGCCTCTCTCCCTTCATGTCTGCCTCTCTCCCTTCATGTCTGCCTCTCTCCCTTCATGTCTGCCTCTCTCCCTTCATGGCTGCCTCTCTCCCTTCATGTCTGCCTCTCTCCCTTCATGTCTGCCTCTCTCCCTTCATGTCTGCCTCTCTCCCTTCATGTCTGCCTCTCTCCCTTCATGTCTGCCTCTCTCCCTTCATGGCTGCCTCTCTCCCTTCATGTCTGCCTCTCTCCCTTCATGTCTGCCTCTCTCCCTTCATGTCTGCCTCTCTCCCTTCATGTCTGCCTCTCTCCCTTCATGTCTGCCTCTCTCCCTTCATGTCTGCCTCTCTCCCTTCATGTCTGCCTCTCTCCCTTCATGTCTGCCTCTCTCCCTTCATGTCTGCCTCTCTCCCTTCATGTCTGCCTCTCTCCCTTCATGTCTGCCTCTCTCCCTTCATGGCTGCCTCTCTCCCTTCATGTCTGCCTCTCTCCCTTCATGTCTGCCTCTCTCCCTTCATGTCTGCCTCTCTCCCTTCATGTCTGCCTCTCTCCCTTCATGTCTGCCTCTCTCCCTTCATGGCTGCCTCTCTCCCTTCATGTCTGCCTCTCTCCCTTCATGTCTGCCTCTCTCCCTTCATGTCTGCCTCTCTCCCTTCATGTCTGCCTCTCTCCCTTCATGTCTGCCTCTCTCCCTTCATGTCTGCCTCTCTCCCTTCATGTCTGCCTCTCTCCCTTCATGTCTGCCTCTCTCCCTTCATGTCTGCCTCTCTCCCTTCATGTCTGCCTCTCTCCCTTCATGTCTGCCTCTCTCCCTTCATGGCTGCCTCTCTCCCTTCATGTCTGCCTCTCTCCCTTCATGTCTGCCTCTCTCCCTTCATGTCTGCCTCTCTCCCTTCATGTCTGCCTCTCTCCCTTCATGTCTGCCTCTCTCCCTTCATGTCTGCCTCTCTCCCTTCATGTCTGCCTCTCTCCCTTCATGGCTGCCTCTCTCCCTTCATGTCTGCCTCTCTCCCTTCATGTCTGCCTCTCTCCCTTCATGTCTGCCTCTCTCCCTTCATGTCTGTCTCTCTCCCTTCATGTCTGCCTCTCTCCCTTCATGGCTGCCTCTCTCCCTTCATGTCTGCCTCTCTCCCTTCATGTCTGCCTCTCTCCCTTCATGTCTGCCTCTCTCCCTTCATGTCTGCCTCTCTCCCTTCATGTCTGCCTCTCTCCCTTCATGTCTGCCTCTCTCCCTTCATGTCTGCCTCTCTCCCTTCATGTCTGCCTCTCTCCCTTCATGTCTGCCTCTCTCCCTTCATGTCTGCCTCTCTCCCTTCATGGCTGCCTCTCTCCCTTCATGTCTGCCTCTCTCCCTTCATGTCTGCCTCTCTCCCTTCATGTCTGCCTCTCTCCCTTCATGTCTGCCTCTCTCCCTTCATGTCTGCCTCTCTCCCTTCATGGCTGCCTCTCTCCCTTCATGTCTGCCTCTCTCCCTTCATGTCTGCCTCTCTCCCTTCATGTCTGCCTCTCTCCCTTCATGTCTGCCTCTCTCCCTTCATGTCTGCCTCTCTCCCTTCATGTCTGCCTCTCTCCCTTCATGTCTGCCTCTCTCCCTTCATGTCTGCCTCTCTCCCTTCATGTCTGCCTCTCTCCCTTCATGTCTGCCTCTCTCCCTTCATGTCTGCCTCTCTCCCTTCATGTCTGCCTCTCTCCCTTCATGTCTGCCTCTCTCCCTTCATGTCTGCCTCTCTCCCTTCATGCCTGCCTCTCTCCCTTCATGCCTGCCTCTCTCCCTTCATGTCTGCCTCTCTCCCTTCATGTCTGCCTCTCTCCCTTCATGCCTGCCTCTCTCCCTTCATGCCTGCCTCTCTCCCTTCATGCCTGCCTCTCTCCCTTCATGCTTGCCTCTCTCCCTTCATGCCTGCCTCTCTCCCTTCATGCCTGCCTCTCTCCCTTCATGCCTGCCTCTCTCCCTTCATGCCTGCCTCTCTCCCTTCATGCCTGCCTCACTCCCTTCATGCCTGCCTCTCTCCCTTCATGCCTGCCTCTCTCCCTTCATGCCTGCCTCTCTCCCTTCATGCCTGCCTCTCTCCCTTCATGCCTGCCTCTCTCCCTTCATGCCTGCCTCTCTCCCTTCATGCCTGCCTCTCTGCCCCCATGTGTGCAGCAAGACACTCAACGGCACTCGTCTCGCCCTCTTGACCAGGTGACCCTTCAATCCGTCTATCGCTCTCCTCTTTCAATCGATTTCATTACTCAACCCTCCTCTCCAAGCTCACTTTCTCCTCTGCAAGTTTAGCTGGAATCTAAAGCGATTCTCATCCGGCCCCCTTCCAGTCGCCCCTCTAGGCCTTGCGGTGTGGAGTTTCTTATAATAATGCCTGTGAGTCGACTCAAGAGTCACCTGCATCAAAATGGTCGTATCGTAGTCACCTCAAGCATCACTTCCTCTCTCCTCTCTCTCTACATCCCCTCCCAGGCCATACGGAGTGGAGTTTCTGATCGAAACGGTGCTCACGCCCCATAGGTGGAGCGAGTTTGATGCTGAGATGGCGGCTTCCTGGAAGGTTCGCTCCTATTCCCTGCCCAGCCATGGCTTTCTCTCGTACTTACGTGTACTGAACCATTCTGTCAGCGTGTGTATCCCTTCCTCTTCTCTTCCTTACTCTGTGTTCCTTTCACCTTGCTTGCTCTCAATTTCGCGGCCTTCACGGTTCACTGTGTCCCTCACCTCTATTGCTGTGTCCAACCGGCCCTCTCCCATCAGGCCGTCTGCCTGGCAGTGGCGAACACACCTCTCCGCGAGTCTGACCTTCCCGCCTACCGCAAGGCCGTGCAGGACAGCATTCTCAGAATGGCCTACTACTGGTATGTTCATGTCCAGCCTTCTATTACTGCCTACTATTGGTATGGCTACCCATCCATCCATCCATCCATCCATCCATCCATCCATCCATCCATCCATCCATCCATCCATCCATCCATCCATCCATCCATCCATCCATCCATCCATCCATCCATCCATCCATCCATCCATCCATCCATCCATCCATCCATCCATCCATCCAATCATCCATCCACCCACCCACCCACCCACCCGTTATCACCCCAGGTACAACTTCATGCCCTAGACCGGGGCACACAGCCATGACCAGCCAGCCATATCATCACATCACCTGCCGCTTCCTGGTGCCTGTCAACCCTTGAGACGCCTCTCTCTGGCCCCGCCCCTCCATACCTCTCGCCCCTCCCCGACCCCCCTCAGGTGCAACGTCATCCCTTGGCACATGGCACGGCCATGGCATGACACTTCCCCTGTCCCCATATCCCTCCCCGGTGTCTCTCCAACATCTCTCCTCCCCTTCCAATGTCTCTCCTCCCCTTCCACTGTCTCTCCTCCCCTTCCAATGTCTCTCCTCCCCTCCTAATGTCTCTCCTCCCCTTCCAATGTCTCTCCTCCCCTTCCAATGTCTCTCCTCCCCTGGCCCCATACCCCCCACCTCAGGTACAACTTCATGCCATTGGCACGCGGCACGGCCATGACAGGCCATGTCATCACGCTCGGCCTGCTCCTCGCCATCGACCTCCACGCCTCCCAGCCCATCCCCCCTGCCGTCCAGGTGCAGTGAATCTAGATGTATGGTAGTAGCAGCGCTCTAGTGAAAAAGGTACAGCCAAACTCTACAAACACATGTGCTTAAGGAAGGCAATGTGCTCACGGCTTAGGGAAGAATAGAGGCTGTGTGCACATGGGATGGGAGAAATGGGTGTTAATGTGAGTCCTGGAATGCCCACGATCAGCCTTCACCTCTTTTGCACCATTCTTCCAAATCCATTCTCTTCCCCTCATCCCACATCTCAAGCCCTGCTTTCTTCACCCACCTTCACCTCTTTGGCACCATTGTTCCAAATCCATTCTCTTCCCCTCATCCCACATCTCAAGCCCTGCTTTCTTCACCCACCTTCACCTCTCTTCCCCATTCTTCATCTCTTTCAACCACTCTGTTCCGCATGCAGGTGGACTGGGAGTCCATCCTGTGCCCCTCAGCCGCCCTCTTCCTCCGCTCTGTCTCCTCCTGGCTCTACCCGTCTCTCATCCACGTGCCTCGCCTGAAGGAGCTTCTGAGCGTGGAGGACGCGTTCCCCTCCCTGGGAGACGTGGTGGATGTGCTCAGTGCGGCGGTGGGGGAGGGAGGCGAAGACGGGGGAATGAAGAGGGGAGAGGAGGGGGGAGTGGAGGGTGGAGAGGAGGAAAGGCAAGCAACCACAGGTGGAGACGTGCGGCCTGGAGGGACCTTAGAAGGAAAGGGATTGACGACAGGAGGCGAGTCTGGTGAGAGTTCAAGCAGTGTGGGTACGAAGATGGTGGGGAACCTTGAGACGAGATCGGGTGTGGCTGGGGGATATAAGGTTGAGGGTGGGGAGGGGAGAGAATCTAAGGAGAGGGAAGAGAGTAGGAGCGGACGGAGAGGGGGACGGAGGGCACAGAGGGAGAAGGAGAGAAGGGAGAGGGAAGAGCGGTTGCGGGAGGAGGAGAGAGCAAGGGAGGAAGGAGCAAGCGAAGGGAAAGGGGAGGAGCAAGTGAGTGAGAAAGGACGAAGCGAAGTCAGAAAGGAAGGGAAAGAGAGGACGCGGGAGCTGGAGGAAGAGGTTGAGAGTGAGGGAGGTGGGATAGGAGGCAAAGGGAGAGGGTTGGCAGGCGGTAATAGGGAGAGGGGAGGGGAGGCAGACGAGGACGATAGGGCAGGAGACCGAGGTGGTGAGACAGCAGACCGAGGTGGTGAGACAGCAGTGGAGGAAGGGATGGAGAAGAGGGGGAGGAGAGGGAGGGGGCGGAGAGAGGAGAGGAGATTGAGGAGGGAGAAAGGGGAGGAACGAGAGGAAGAGGGGGGTGGTGTGGAGGAGCATGAGAACAAGGCAAAGGGCAAGGGGGACGTAAAGGTAATCACTGCGGGCACATCTGCTGTCAAAGACATTGAGAAGGACGTGGAGAGGGAGAAGGAGAAGGAGAAGGAGAAGGAGAAGAAGGAGAAGGAACACAAGAGAGAGAAGATGGTAAAGGAGAAGGGAGAACAAGAGATGGCGGCAGCTGCAGAGTCCAGGCGGTATTCAGCCAAGGGGAGAGCTGGTGCCCGTCCAAAGAAGCGGTGGGGCAGCGACGTGACTCTCGAAGCAGCAGTGGGGCTGGTGAGTGGCAGTGGGGGGGTGAGCAACACAGCTGGGTCACTTATAGGAGTTCTCAAAGGGGATTGCTTGCAGGCACTGAGAAGTTTAAGCAGTTTATTGCCACACGTCCTTGTGCACACAGATCACATCATCTCATGTCTAATTCCTCAAACCTCATCTCATGTCTAATTCCTCAAACCTCATCGTTGCTTTCCAGCTGCATTCTGTCACACACACGGTCGAAAGCATTGCCGCATTTTCACTTCCATGCACTCCTCTTCCACACTGCTTGATGATTCCCTTGCTTCACTGCGTTTCCCTTGTCATTCATTTCCGTTACCTCGCGCTTCCTGTCAGGCTCAAGCAGGCAACTACGAGGCGGCAATTGAAGCATTTACACTGGTTACCTTCCCTCCCCTCTCTTTTCCTCCCTGCCCCTTCGCTTCCCTCTCCTTCCCTTTCCCTTCCCCTTTCTTTCCCGTCCCTCCCCTTCTCTTTCCTTTCCTTCCCTCCCATTTCCTTTCCCTTCCGTTCCCTTCCCTTCGTTTTCCTTCCCTTTGCCTTCCCTTCTCTTTCCCTTCCCTCCTTCTCTTTTCCTCTCTTCCCTTCCCATCCCTGCACACTGTCTCGTCTCTCGATCCCTCCGTGAGTCCCGTGCCTTTTATCCTCATTACCGCAGTCTTCAACAGCATCTCTAACCCACAGTTGTCTATGCCGTCTTGTATGTTGAACCTGACATTAGTCTTCTCGAGCTTTACTGTAGTGTGGCTGACAGTTAAAAGTTTCATCAACAGGCATCTATCGATATTCTGAAGTAGCCCTCCTCACCTTCCCCCTGTCGCTCCCCTCCTCCGTACATTGAATCCCACCAGCTGGAGGAGCAGGGAGAGGAGGAGTCGGCAGGGCTGCTGGCGTGGAGGGGGGCGGCCAACTCCCTCACAGGCCGCCACACGCAGGCCATCACTGACCTCACCAAGGTGCGACACTGACCTCACCAAGGTGCGACACTGACCTCACCAAGGTGCGACACTGACCTCACCAAGGTGCGACACTGACCTCACCTCACCAAGGTGCGACACTTGTACTGCTCCTGTCCTCTTAGCATGCCAAGGCTCGCCCATACTTCACTCCGCGTGCCTTTCTTGCTCTGCTCTTGGGCTGGGCGTGCCATTTTTCAGGCGTTGAAGATCATTCCATCGGACCTGCCCATCTACCACCACCTGCTGCAGCACCGCGCCGTCTCGCACCTCAAGCTGTTTTTAAGCCGTTCCTTTGCTCTGCTGCCTGCCCTTGGGTTGGGTGTGCGTGTGTGTCACTGTCAGGCCCTCCGAATCATTCCATCGGATCTACCCATTTACCAGAGCCTGCTGCAGCACCGAGCCGTCTCGCACCTCAAGCTGCAGCGATTCTCAGAGGTCAGGCTGGGTGGGGCTGTGATGTGCATTCAAGGGAGTAGAGTGGTTGTGAGGGCAGTGAGTACCATTGTGTCCGATGCGCACTGCTGAGTGTATTGTTTGTGTGCGACCATGCCATGGTGCTGTGTGCAATGCGTGTGTGCGACCCATGCCATGCCATGCCATGGTGCTGTTATGGCAGGCCATAGCGGACTGGACTACCATGATTGATGCCGACCCCAGCAATTTTGCTGCCATTCGTGAGAGAGGTGAGACACAGAGGTGCATCATATGCTGCCTGGCTTACAGAAATCCAGACAGTATTTGGTGAGGTGCCATGTTCCAATAGTGCCGTGTTTTATGCATCGCATATCCCATCCACCAACCATTTCATGCCCTCCCATCCCCAACTCATGCTATCCCATGCACCATCCACCCATCCCATGCACCTCCCATCCCATGCCCATGCACCTCCCATCCCATCCCCATGCACCGCCCATGCCATCCCATGCACCGCCCATGCCATCCCATGCGCCTCCCACCCATCCCTCCCCCGTGTGGCAGGCATGGCTCGTGTAAACCGCAGGGCTTTCAAGGACGCCATTCCGGACCTCACCACCGCACTGCACCACTCTCCACACGAGCACACCCTCCGCCTCTTCCTGGTAGAGTACATTTCCATGGCATGGCAAGGCATGGCAAGGCATGGCATGGCAAGGCATGGCATGGCATGGCATGGCATGGCATGGCATGGCATGGCATGGCATGGCATGGCATGGCATGGCATGGCATGGCATGGCATGGCAAGGCATGGCAAGGCATGGCATGGCATGGCATGGCATGGCATGCAGCGGTGTATTCAGATGCTGTGTGCGGAGTGCTGCTCAGCGGGCATGTTATCCCATTCCCGTTGCCCAGGTCAACGCACTAGTACCCACGTGGGACGGCGGTCAGAGGGAGCATTTGAGGCATGGTGTGTGCTCGCCTCTCTCCCTGCTGCTACAATCCCCCTCCCTCCCATCCCCTCTCCCCCACACCCTACCTCAGGGCAACGCCTTGTACCACATGGGGCGGTGATCAGAGGCAGCAGCAACGCTGCAGGAGGTGGTGCGAGTGGAGGCACAACAGGGGGAGGCGTGGTGCGAGTGGAGGCACAACAGGGGGAGGCGTGGTGCGAGTGGAGGCACAACAGGGGGAGGCGTGGTGCGAGTGGAGGCACAAGAGGGGGAGGCGTGGTGCGAGCGCACTTCTCTCCCTACTGCTATCATCCCCTTCCCCTTCCCCTTCCCCTTCCCCTTCCCCTTCCCCTTCCCCTTCCCCTTCCCCTTCCCCTTCCCCTCCCCCGCTGCCTCAGGGCAACGCCTTGTACCACATGGGGCGACGGTCAGAGTCAGCGGCAGCGCTGCAAGTGGTGGTGCGTGCGGATCCGCAGTAGGTGTAGGGGATGGTGACCCGTTTACTTACCCTTCTCTCCCTCCTTGCACCCTCCCACCAAACCCTCTCCCCCCTCCCGCCAAATCCTCAGGACAACGCCTTATACCGCATGGGGCGATGGTCCGAAGCAGCAGCAGCGCTGCAGGTGGTGGTGCGTGCAGAGCCGCAGCGGGGGGAGGCGTGGCGCGTGCTCACTTCTCTCTAGTGTTATCATCCCCCTTCCACCTAATCTTCAGGGCAACGCCTTATACCACATGGGGCGGCGGTCAGAGGCAGCAGCAGCGCTGCAGGCCGTGGTGCGTGCAGAGCCGCAGCGGGGGGAGGCGTGGCGCGTGCTCGGGGACGTGCGGAGGGACATGGGGGAGGTGGGGGAGGCGGAGAGGTGCTATGGGCATGCGCTGAAGGCGTTTCCCAGGTGAGATGGATGGAGGCATGTAGGCGTGTGATGGGGAATAGGCGGAAGGCGTGGTCGATAGGGGGGGAGAGGAGACGTGCTATGAGAATGCGAGAAGCTCAGGTTCTATGGGTGGAGCCTTGGAGGCATGGCGTGTGCTGCAGACGTACGGAGGGATATGGGGGAGGGAGGAAGGCAAGGCAGAGAGGTGTTATATGAGAATGTGCTCAATGAATGGCAGGCAGAAGCACAAATGAGGGGATTCTATATGCTGCATTCCTGTTTGCTCCACCCATTAACTTCCCTCGTAGCAGGCACTTCTTCTCCACCCGCCCTCTCATGAATGATCACCTTGTGTGCACCCACCCGCCCTCTCATGAATGATCACCTTGTGTGCACTCACCCGCCCTCTCATGAATGATCACCTTGTGTGCACCCACCCGCCCTCTCATGAATGATCACCTTGTGTGCACCCATCCGCCTTCCCTCCCTCCCCCCCGACGACGCACGGTGTGGCAGTGATATGCCCACGCTGCACTCCTGGGTGAAGCTGCTGCAATCAACCGGCAGACACAGGTGGGTGCAGAGCGGTTCAGATGGGTAGAAGAGGCATGTGCTTGTGAGCCGTCGAGGTGTCATGCGGTTCTTTCTAACATGTTGCTGGTTGTGCTACCCATGCCACTTTCGCACTGCTGGTTGCGTTGTTGGTTGTGCTACCCATGCCACTTTCGCACTGCTGGTTGCGTTGTTGGTTGTGCTACCCATGCCACTTTCGCACTGCTGGTTGCGTTGTTGGTTGTGCTACCCATGCCACTTTCGCACTGCTGGTTGCGTTGCTGGTTGTGCTACCCATGCCACTTTCGCACTGCTGGTTGCGTTGCTGATTGTGCCGCGGATTGTGTCAATCATTTCTCGTATCGCTCTTTGTGTCTCTCTGTCAATCCTATGCTGCAAGCCAGGGAGGTGATCACTCTACTCTCAAAGTACATCCCCTACCACCCCACTAACGTGGAGCTGCGCTATTGGTTGGCATCATCGCACCACTCCTTGGCTGACTTTCCCAAGGCTGTGAGTCGAGTAGTTGATCGCATCAGCACGTTGAATCCAAGTCAACCGCACCCGCTCTGGCTGATGCTTTTGAGACTCTTTCAGGGTAGCCTTGACTCTGGCGTCTGACATAGCATTACTTTGTTGGTTTAGACGCCATGCCTTGGGCTGCCATGCCACCTTTCAGACGTCTTTTGAGTCGACTCAAAAGTCACCTTGCTTTTGAGGCTCTTCCAGGCTACCCTTGACCCTGGCGTCTGACATAGAGCATTACTTTGTTGCAGGGCTGCCATGCCACCTTTCAGACGCCTCAAGGCTTGGTCATGGTTTAGCAGTATTACTCAGCTCATCTTCCCTCTAGGCTTTAGTCACAGTTTACAAAGGTAACCTAGTGTATCCCCTCAGCAATTTTGACAAACGCACCTGCCTGGTTGTGGTGGTGGTGGCAGGTTGACGCGTACAATCACGTGCTTAAGATGCAGCCACGTGACTACAGCGACCGTCAGAGCCATGACATGGCATTCTACCAGGTGTGACTGCATGAGGAGCCAGCAAATGAGATATGGTTTTTGTTCTGTGAGATTGCAGCAGCAAGGAGAGCATGTCCGCTGACTCATGCCATGCTGCATGCGTTTGTACATGTCTAACTCCCTGCACCCCATACGCCATGTCTAACTCCCTGCACCCCATACGCCATGTCTAACTCCCTGCACCCCATACGCCATGTCTAACTCCCTGCACCCCATACGCCATGTCTAACTCCCTGCACCCCATACGCCATGTCTAACTCCCTGCACCCCATACGCCATGTCTAACTCCCTGCACCCCATACGCCATGTCTAACTCCCTGCACCCCATACGCCATGTCTAACTCCCTGCACCCCATACGCCATGTCTAACTCCCTGCACCCCATACGCCATGTCTAACTCCCTGCACCCCATACGCCATGTCTAACTCCCTGCACCCCATACGCCATGTCTAACTCCCTGCACCCCATACGCCATGTCTAACTCCCTGCACCCCATACGCCATGTCTAACTCCCTGCACCCCATACGCCATGTCTAACTCCCTGCACCCCATACGCCATGTCTAACTCCCTGCACCCCATACGCCATGTCTAACTCCCTGCACCCCATACGCCATGCCTCTAACTCCCTGCACCCCATACGCCATGTCTAACTCCCTGCACCCCATACGCCATGTCTAACTCCCTGCACCCCATACGCCATGCCTCTAACTCCCTGCACCCCATACGCCATGCCTCCCTGCACCCCATACGCCATGCCTCTAACTCCCTGCACCCCATACGCCATGCCTCCCTGCGTGCACTTGCGTGCATCACACGGCACCATATCCCATCCCATCACATCACAGAGGGAGGTGGCAGTGTACATGGCAGCATGCATGGAGCAGCCTTTGGACCGATTCATCTTTCCCCCTGCCTCCCTGCATGCCTCCCTGCATGCCTCCCTGCATGTCTCCCTGCGTGCACCTCATGTTGCATGCATGCATCACATGAATCACAGAGGGAGGTGGCAATCTACATGGCAGCATGCATGGAGCAACCTTTGGACCAGTTCAGCATCGACAACCACTTCCTTCCTCTCTTCAAGGTGACTCTAACATGAGTATGTACAACGTCACTCTCTTCTTTTCAACTCACTCCCCTCCTTCAAGCACCACTGCCTCCCCTCATTCCCTCTACAGCCTCATCAGCCAAAACCTGAAGGAAGGCGACAAACTCACGGCCTCTCCCCACTCCTCTCCCCACTGCTCTCCCCACTCCTCTCCCCACTCCTCTTCCCACTCCTCTCCCCTCGCCTCGCCCCTCTCCTCTCCCCACTCCTCTCCCCACTCCTCTCCCCACTCCTCTCCCCACTCCTCTCCCCACTCCTCTCCCCACTCCTCTCCCCACTCCTCTCCCCACTCCTCTCCCCCGTTCCCCTCCCCACTCCTCTCCCCACTCCGCTCTCCACTCCTCTCCTTGTTCCTCTCTCCTCTACCAACCCCCCTCACCAGGAGAGCTGGACATACCGCTATCCACCACATGCCCTGCTGCAGGCAGGATACGAGCCCAAGGCTCTGCCGCCTCTGGATGCTCGGGGGGGCAACGGCAGCACCTGCAGTGGGGAGGGCGAGGGAACAAGGCTGGGTGCTGCCCACGTGGAGGCTGTTGATTGGGCGGACAGGCTGGGCAGTCTGATTCAGTACCACTGCGCTGGCTTCCTCAATAACAGGCGCCAGGTGAGGTGAGGGGTGGGGGGCTTAAGGCTGGCTGCCTAGCAGACGGCAGGTGAGGGGTGGGGGGCTTTAGGCTGGCTGCCTAGCAGACGGCAGGTGAGGGATGAGACGGAGTGAGGTCCAGGAGGACCTGGTCTCTTCTTGGTGGGCTTTTGCACCCACTCACCAGTCCTTATGGCCATGTGCATGTGCATGTGGATTGGCATGTGCATGTGCATGTGGATTGGCATGTGCATGTGCATGTGGATTGGCATGTGCATGTGCATGTGGATTGGCATGTGCATGTGCATGTGGATTGGCATGTGCATGTGGATTGGCATGTGCATGTGGATTGGCATGTGCATGTGCATGTGGATGTGCATGTGCATGTGGATTGGCATGTGCATGTGCATGTGGATTGGCATGTGCATGTGCATGTGGATTGGCATGTGCATGTGGATTGGCATGTGCATGTGGATTGGCATGTCCATGTCCATGTCCATGTCCATGTGCATGTGGATTGGCATGTGCATGTGCATGTGGATTGGCATGTGCATGTGGATTGGCATGTCCATGTCCATGTCCATGTCCATGTGCATGCGGATTGGCATGTGCATGTGCATGTGCATGTCCATGTGCATGTGCATGTGCATGTCCATGTGCATGTGCATGTGCATGTGCATGTGCATGTGCATGTGCATGTCCATGTCCATGTCCATGTGCATGTGCATGTCCATGTCCATGTCCATGTCCATGTCCATGTCCATGTCCATGTGCATGTGCATGTGCATGTGCGCTCGCTTGAACGATTCAATGCGGCCTCACCTAATCCCCATGTCCTGTGGCTTGGGCCCCATTCAAACCCTCTCCCACTCCCCTCTCCAATCACACCAATTACCTCATTGTATCCCCATTGCATCAAATGCAATGCACACAGCAAAGGGTGGCGGGGCTAACCATGCTGGCCATCATGCACGAACTCAGGCGCGAGTGTGTCACAATCAGACCCTCTCCCACTCCCCTCTCCAATCATACCAATCATCTAATTGCATCGAATGCAATGCACACAGCAAAGGGCGGCGGGGCTAGCCATGCTGGCGATCATGCACGCACTCAGGCACGAGTGGGCCCGCCTCCTCGCCTCAACGTCTCGCCCAGCCAGTGCCAGCAGAGGTGCTGACGTGGCGCTGACGTGGCGTGACGTGTACTCCATGGCTGCCACGTGGCGGCAGATAGCGGAACCAACGGATAAAGTGATGTGGTCGGATCGATACACGTGAGTGATTTGCTGATTAACTAACCAACATATGCGCTGCTGACTTAATACAGGGAGTAAGAACCTTACATTTACCATTCCATTGAAAGCATTACCTCTCTTATTGTGCACTATCAGATTGCTTCGGCTTCAGCCAGTGCTTTTTCCCAATGTGCAATCCTCTTGGACTGTGACATCCTCCGTGGGTGTGCTGTGGTGCTGTGGGTGCTGGGCTGAGTGGCAGGGAGAGTGGGTTCAACAAGGGGGTCATCTCCAGCACCCCCATCTCATACGGCCAATCACTCAACTTCAAATACGGCGCGTACGCCGACAGGTACAGACTACAGTGGGGTAACATCTCCAAAGAAATATGTGTTTCAAAGGCAGCGTATATGCCTTCGGGTGGCATGCGCGCAGGACTGTGTAACAGCTGTGGGTTTTTTTTTAGACATCCATGGTGTGCAAGGGATGTAGGTGTGACTATAGAGAGCGACCGGTGGAGTTGCACATGTGTTCAGAGCCGATTTATCATCTGTATTTGCGTACGTGTGACTGCCTGCCTGTGCGTGCGTGCGTGTGCATCAGAGCGTTTGGGATTCTGAAGCAGCTGCTGCTGAAGTGAGGAGTGGTGAGGAGGTGACTTTTGAGTCGACTCAAAAGTCATACGCGTGAATGTCTGTGTGTGCCTGTGTGTGCCTGTGTGTGCATCAGGGCGTTTGGGATTCTGAAGCAGCTGCTGCTGGAGCGGGGAGTGGTGAAGGCGCAGGATGGGCTGGTGGAGATTCCTGTCTCCAAGGCCGTGCTCAGAAAGGTGTGTGAGCATGGCTGCGTTTTGACACGTCTCACAGCTCAAAACATGAGATGCCTCACAACGTCTCATAACTGGGTGAAGGCGCAGGATGGGCTGCTGGAGATTCCTGTCTCCAAGGCCGTGCTCAGAAAGGTACGCCAGCACTGGCAGACTGTGTTTTGAGTTGACTCAAAACAAAACACGACTGTGTTTTGAGTCGACTCAAAACAAAACACGACTGTGTTTTGAGTCGACTCAGAAGGCGCAGGATGGGCTCGTGGAGATTCCTGTCTCCAAGGCCGTGCTCAGAAAGGTACGTCAGCACTGGCAGACTCGCCACTCTTGAAGCTTCAAGTACGCTCATGCCCTCTGTACGTCCATCAAGCAATCTATCTCACCCCACCCTTCACGGCATCCCATCCATGCCATCCCACACCACGTGTGATGAGTCGATTTTCAAGTCGACTCAAAAAACGACCCTTCACGTCACGGCATGTTATCTATGTCATCCCGCGCCAGGCTCGCAAGGCCAGCACGCACACGCAGCTAGTCGCGGCAGTCGGTCAACCCTCCTTCTACACGCCGCTGCTCATCCCCAGCTCCGCACAGCCCGGGTAAGCACTGACCCCTGTGCTTGCTCCTTCCTATCATCCCTGCTGGAGTTTCGTACTGCCTTGCCTTTACCACGTCCAGCGTTTGAGTTGCTGTTTTGCCCTCTCCTTTGCACAGGTTTGGGTCTCTGTTCGCCTCTGTGTTTGAATTTCTGCGTGCGGGCCCGTACAAGCGTGCCCATGTGATGGTTCACATTCTCTCGTGTGTGTATGTGTGAATGCTTCGTTTTTACTTCTATGAATACTTGTGTTATGTGTGCAGGAAGCTTATTGAAGGCACACGAATATCAGTATTTCCCAATCCTGAGTAAGCTTGACGTCAACCCATTCTGTATCCAATAACTCAAATTTCACTCATAAGCTTTAAGCCTCAGTACTAGCCTCTTTTCTCACCATCGCATCTCTCACATCCCTCTCACATCGCTCACTCCCCTCCCCTACCCAACCATCTCCTTCCGTCGTCTCAACAATCTCTCCCAGGCATACCTCCTCCCTCCTTCCATCCCACATCGTACTCCACCTCTTGCCTCTTCACACCTTCCCCATACGCCCCAACCTCATCCCTTTCCGCTTCCCCCACCCCCACCTCGCGCCCAAGCTCATGCTCATTCTCCTTCACCATCTCTCCCCTCCTCCTACCCCTCCCCCTTCTTCCTTTCCTTTCCCTGTCCATGCCTCCTTCCTTCCTCCTTACCAGCTCCCCCGAGCTAGCAATCGAGCTCATGCTCAAGCCCCTTCCTCCAACCTCATCTCCCCCACTCCCCTCCCACTCCCTCCAACCTCCTTCCTCCTCGCCTGTCCCCTGCAGCTCGCCCGAGCCCGAGCTAGCAATCGAGCTCATGCTCAAGCCCCTTCCTCCAACCTCATCTCCTCCACTCCTCTCCCACTCCCTCCAACCTCCTTCCTCCTCGCCTGTCCCCTGCAGCTCGCCCGAGCCCGAGCTAGCAATCGAGCTCATGATCAAGCCCCTTTCCTGTCTCGTCTCTCCTCTACCCCTCCCCCCAACCTCGTCTCCCCCACTCTCCCCCCTCTCCCACCCCACTCCCTTCGACCTCCTTCCTCCTCGCCTGTCCCCTGCAGCTCGCCCGAGCCCGAGCTAGCAATCGAGCTCATGCTCAAGCCGGAGCGGTGGAGGGAGTATGAGAGTGAGATGGACGCCGCATGGCAGGTGAGTGAGAGCAAGTGCACACACAATCATACTCACCACCTCATGCCACCTCCTTTCGTGCTCTCTGAATCTCCTTACTCTCCCCGATCCCATCTCCTTCTCCCACCTCACCTCACTTCTCTTGCATCCTTCACGCTGCGCTCCCCTCCCTCTCTACTGCTCTGCTTCGCTCACGCCCCCTCTGACACTCTGCTCCCCCCACGCCCCTTGTCCAACCAACCCGCCCTCGCCCATCAGGCCATCCGCCTGGCAGTGGCAAACACGCCTCTCCGTGACTCTGACTTCCCGGCCTACGGCAAGGCAGTTCAGGACAGCATTCTCAGAATGGCTTACTACTGGTATGTGCTGCTACTGGAGGGTATGGTAGTGGCATGGCCCACTGCTGGTATGCTCATGTGAAGCATGAAGTAACTGTTGTCTATTACTGGTGGGGCTGACTACTGGGTCCCTGCTCCTTCTCCCATGTCCCTGATTCACCAGCTTCAAACCACTATATGCACAGGCGCATCTGCACATGACATCACAGTAGCACATGACATCACAGTAGCACATGACATCACAGTAGCACATGACATCACAGTAGCACATGACATCACAGTAGCACATACACGGTTGTGTTTGCCTGGCTGTTTACATTACTGTGTGTATGTTCAACCTGTGCTTCTGCACTCACCCAAACCTCCCAAGTCTCCATAATCTCCCTAATTTTCACTGAAACCATACCACACCGCACCACACTTCACCACGCCAGGTACAACTTCCAGCCCTTGTCACGGGGCACGTCAGGCACGGGTTACGTGGTAACGCTCGCTCTGCTGCTGTCCATGGACCTGCAAGTCACCACCGCCATCCCTCCGGGCGTGCAGGTGAGCAGAGGGCATGTGGGTTGCCATGGGGTGTGCAGGTGAGCAGAGGGCATGTGGGTTGCCATGGGGTGTGCAGGTGAGCAGAGGGCATGTGGGTTGCCATGGGGTGTGCAGGTGAGCAGAGGGCATGTGGGTTGCCATGGGGTGTGCAGGTGAGCAGAGGGCATGTGGGTTGCCATGGGGTGTGCAGGTGAGCAGAGGGCATGTGGGTTGCCATGGGGTGTGCAGGTGAGCAGAGGGCACCTGGATAGCCACGGATGCTGGTGGTGGGCGATTGTGCTGTTGTGCGGGTGATTGACGATTAAAGGAGACACAAGGAAGATGAGAATGGGGGGGGGAGCAGTGTGCAAGTGGGCAAGAGAGTCATAAGGGCTGAGAGACAACACTGGCGTATGTGAAAGCAAGAGAGGCACAAGTGGTGCCAGTCCAGTGCTTGCTAACCTGCTGTCCCTTTATGTGCGTCCCCGTACTGTGAGCGCAGGTTGACTGGGAGGCACTCCTCTCACCAACTCCCGCAGACTTCACAGCTGCCATCTCAGAGTGGCTGTACCCGTCGCTCGTGTATACTCCAGAGTTGGGGCAGATCCCACAGATCAGTGACACGTTTCCATGCCTTCTTGAGGTTTTCCTTGCTCTAGAGTAGCGCTCAGGAGTGGCTGAGATGGAACGAATGCATTCTCTGACATGGATTGGTACCAACTGGCATATGCTTGCGAACATGGTTTGTGAATAATGATTGAGCTTGAGCTTGACTTTGATTTTGAGCTTGAGCTGGAGCTTGAGTTTGTGCTTGTGCTTCAGCTTCGGGTTCAGCTTTTTCTTAAGCTTGAGTTTGTGCTTGAAGCTAAGTATATTGAGACCGTTGGGCTGCTATGTAACTATGTTTCTATCACACTTGATAACCCAGTACCAGACTGATTTCTTGTGTTACAACGGTAGCCATCTTACCACACTCATGTATTGTGCTCTGCAAGTGTCCCCTCCTCTTTTGCTCCCTGACAACATACCCGTATTATCAATCGACGCCTGAATTGAGCCACCCACCAGTACTTGTAGAACAATGTGGAATACCGTGAGACCCCGGATAGAGGAGCGGGCCGTATGTGGCCTCTATGATATCCACTGTTATAGGCGCATACCGCATTAATTTTTTATTCGAAAATTAGTCACAATACCGAAACGAATTCTACGTTACCAGACTATCCACTTCCAATCAAAAGCATGGTGCCTTGAACTTGATCGAAGCCCCTTTCTCTGCCACGTCAGCGTTGGTGAGTGCATGTCAGGCGGAGGAGGAATCGAGGCGGCCACTCACAGCCATGCGCTGACCTGATTCACCTGCTCCAGCTCTTCCATTCGCCTCGTTCTACTGTACCTCCTCCAGCATAGCGAATACATGTACACACGCAAATTCATTCACACGCGCACTAGCATTTGGTGCCACTTTCTGAAACGCGGAAGTGGGCTGATTCTCTATCTCTCTTCTGCAACTCCGCCTTGTTTGCGTCCGATCCACGCCACTCTGCCTTGCACGCTACGAGGATTTTCCTGGTCCTCGAATAAGCGTATCGACTGACGATTCTCCTTTTTCGTCAATCGCTCCTCGTCCGTTCCTGTATATCGTCTCACTCCGTACTTTTCGCTTCACCATCGCTCGTCTCTCTAGCATGGCTCTCGTTGGTTCTTCTGCTCGTCTACCTCTTAGACATGCCACGTCAGCAATGACACCGGCAACACCAGCAGCCTCAGCAGCTAAGGCATTCCGAACCTCCTTCTCATCCAACCTAATTCCATTCAATGGCTTGAGGCGCCTCGCCGTTAGCGGCGGCAGCGGGTGCAGCCCTAACGGGTTGCAAAGAGCCGTTGAGCGAAGAGCCGTTGAGGCGTCGGTGTCAGCGCGTGAGACGACGGATGCGAATGCATCGACGGCCGATGCGACGGGGCTAGGGAAGGCGATTCGCGACGATTTCCCGATTCTGCATCAGGTAGTTTTGAACGTCCTAACATCCCGAATTGTGACACGACTGGGAAACACTTCACCCTCTTGGCTTACAGCCAGAGAGAAAATAGTATCACTTCAGAATGATTCTCCGGCGTTACTGAATTTAATCGTTCTAGAGCCAATATTTTAAGGTCGTAGATGTCACATTATGGTGTGTCACATTGGGAGCATAGAAAACGACTCGTATGAATGTGACTCGATGCATCAGTGGAGCGTGCATCCATGCCGTTGATAAGTGGTTGCCGTGGCTTGTTATAACTGAATCACTATGTACCTCGTCGTCATTCTACTCACTTGCCTTCTTTCAATGCATCAGGAGGTGCCAGGCGGCCAGCCATTGGTGTATCTAGACAGCGCAGCAACTTCGCAGAAGCCACTGCAAGTGATCAACGCCATGGATGATTATTACCGGCGCTACAATGCCAATGTGCACCGTGGTGTGCACTATCTCAGGTGAGCTTGTAACGCGTATATGCATGCATGCAATCAACAACACCTTGATGACTGGAACAAACGAAACAAAGCCAAGGAGCATTACTTGAATTGTCCACTGTTTCAGTTGAGCTTAAATGGTGTATTTGACCTTGAGTGCGTGGGCTGTAACCCATGTGAGCATGCAAGTGATCAACGTCACGGATGGGCTGGCTACCTCTACCTACCCAATGATATAATGGTAATGTTCATTGCAATGCGCAGTGCACTACCTGAGGTGAGCTGTGACACCCATGCATCAACAATCAGCACCCTCTTCATGTTTTTGTCCCCCCACCCTCTGTGGACCGGGGAAACAACGAGCTCTGTTTGTGAAACCAACCATGTTCGTTTTCCTCACTTCACTCACCTTCGTTTCCTACCCCTTCTCCTCCTGCCAAAGCACCCCGCCTTCTCTTCTCTTTTTTCTCCGCGTGGCCGAGCGTGCTGGCCACAGAGGAGTACGTGAAGGCGTGGCAGGAAGTAGCTCGCTCGCTTCATCAACCCGGCCGGCCCAGCGCCCTTCTACGATCCCCACTCCTCTCTCCATCTCCCTCCACACCCACCCCTTTCTTCCACAGCATGGTTAGCAAACGAGGAGTATGAGAAGGGACGGGAGTAGGTAGGTAGGGGCCAATGCTCCTCCAAGATCGTCTCTACATGTACTTTGCACTCACCTCTCCCGCTCCTCCCACACCCACCCCTCTCCCCAGCATGTTAGCCACAGAGGAGTACGAGAAGGCGCGCGAGAAGGTGGCGCGGTTCATCAACACAGCCCAGGGCCCCTCGGAGATCGTGTTCACACGCAACGCCAGCGAGGCAATCAACCTGGTGGCGTACTCGTGGGGCCTCTCCAACCTCGCCCCGGGCGACGAGGTGCTCCTCACAGTCGCGGAGCACCACAGCAACATCGTCCCCTGGCAGATTGTAGCCCAGAAAACCGGGGCGGTTCTGAAGTTTGCACCCCTGAAAGTGCCGGAGGCGGCGGAGAGGGAGGGGCATGCGGCGGGCGCGGAGGTGGACTATGAGCGACTGCTGGAGATGATTGGCGCGCGCACGAAGCTCGTGGCCGTGCACCATGTCTCCAACGTGCTCGGTGAGTCATGCCAAGCCAAGCAGTTGGGGGCTCACCTTTCACATTTGGGTGCTGCTGGACGCGTGCCACTCTGTGCCACACATGCCCGTGGACGTGCAGCAGCTGGGGGGTGTGACTCATTAGTTGCCTCTTACCCACCCACCGTTCCTTTTCTTACCCCCCTTCTTCAGGCTCCGAGTCCCCAGTGGAGCAGATGAGAGAAAAAGCGCATGCAGTGGGCGCCAAGGTGCTCTTAGACGCGTGCCAGTCCATGCTGCACATGACGTGCAGCACCTAGGGGGGGGTGTGACTTCTTTGTTGCCTATTACCCACCCTCCCACCGTCCCTTTTCTTACCCTCCTCTTCAGGCTCCGAGTCCCCAGTAGAGCAGATCAGAGAAAAGGCGCATGCAGTGGGCGCCAAGGTTCTATTAGACGCATGCCAGTCCGTGCCACACATGCCGGTGGACGTGCAGCACCTGGGGGTGGACTTCGCAGCAGTCTCCTCACACAAGATGTGTGGTCCCACGGGCATTGGCTTCCTCTATGGTCGATCCGACGTGCTCGCCTCCATGCCTCCCTTTATGGGTAAGCGCATGTGGCATGCCCTTACTATGCATCCTCGCATAAGATGTGTGGCTCGACAGGCATCGGCTTCCTCTATGGCCGCGCTGACGTGCTTGCCTCCATGCCGCCCTTCATGGGTAAGCACGTGCCCTCAGGGGTATCCGCGTCCCTTCATGACATGAGCGTGCAGGGGTTAGGTTCCACTCAGCTGACCACATTTGGATAGCTTTACAAAGACATGAACATCCCTTATTGGGCTACAAAAATCAGGGGCTGGACTTGCTGCAGATCCCTATTTGCCCCCTATCTGTCTCTTTCGTCTCACCTTTCACCTCCCTTCTACTAACCCCCCTTCGGCCCATTCTTACCTTTCTCTCTCCAATCAATTCGACTGGCCCGATCGTTTCTGTGATTCTTTTGTCGTCAGGAGGAGGCGAGATGATTCAGGACGTCTTTTTGGACCATTCCACCTACTCTGATCCCCCCGCAAGGTACGCCCTTCCTGTCTGTTGTTGAGGAGCCTCAAAAGCAGGACCTGTCGCCACATCTCTCATCCTCTCTAGCTGCTCCCCACCTCTGGTCGTTACTTCCCCACTTACTGCCCTCGCCGCTGCCCCATTCTCCCAGTACTTCCCCTCTCTCTCTCGCTTTCCTAGCTACAAATATGCCATTCCAGTCATTGCGGATGCCACAGGGGTGATTGTGACTCGTTTTACAGGTAATGCATCCTCCCTTTCCCCCCGTCCCCTCCAGTGCCCTCCCATATTCGAAGCTGGGAGTGCAGCCATTGCTAGTGCCATATAGTTAACATGTGACCAGTGTTTTAACTCGCACATCTTATCCTCCCTGCCCTCCCCTCTCTTGCTCTCCAGGTTCGAAGCTGGCACGCCAGCCATTGCGGAGGCCATAGGGCTGGGAGCAGCAGTGGACTATCTGACAGCTAAGGGCATGGATAACGTGCATGCATATGAGGTATGCTTGGGCCATCCGTCATTTGGCATTTTCATCGTATGAATGAACATGTATGGGCCTATGTGCACGCCTGTGGGGTGGGCTATGTATGCATGGGTATGAGGTATGGTTGAATGTCTGCAGATATATTGGTGAAGGAGGTGTTTTGCCGTGTTGATGGGGATTCGTGGATGTGGTGAGGGTATTGCTGTTACAGGTTTCAGGCTGTGTAGCAGGCATGTGGACGATGTCGCTTCTGTAACCTTCAGTCTTTCGATTGTCACCCATGATTGGCATGTTGCTGTTGCATGATTTTAAAAACCCCTCTGCTTGTCCACTTCATTTTTCATCCTCTCTACTGCTGCCCTTCCGTTCCCTCCAACCCTTCCTATTCCAGATGCATCTATCAGAGTACCTTTACAAGCAGCTCTCAGCCGTCGATCGAGTGCGCATCTACGGCCCTCCTCCACCGTCTCTGCTCCCGGGAGGTCCGACCGCCGTTCAAAGGGGGCGGGTGGCGGCGCTGTGCACGTTCAGTGTGCAGGGCATGCATGCCACCGACGTGTCCTCGTTCCTGGACCAACAGGTGTGTGCATGGCATGCGTGAGCGTGCATGGCATGCATGCCACCGACGTCTCATCCTTTCTCGATCAGCAGGTGAGATGCGATAGCAGGCATGGTGGGGTGAGATGTGAGAGTGGCACAGGTAAGTCACGCAGGGGGTGGGTGGCAGCGCTGTGCACGTTCAGCGTGGATGGCATGCATGCCACTGACGTCTCCTCGTTCCTGGACCAACAGGTACGCCACACTATACCCTAAGCCCCAAACCCTTCAAAGGGGGCGGGTGGCGGCGCTGTGCACGTTCAGCGTGGATCAACATGTGTGGGCATGGCATGTGTAGCCCAGGGCTCTCGTTATCAGACCAAATTGGTCTGATTTTCTGATTTTCAGACCTTGATTTTTGTTTTCATCTGATTTTCAAGACGAGGATTTTTACTTCGTCTGATCTGTAAGATAACGAATTTCAGTTCATCTGATTTTTCAGAGGAAGCCTTATACTTCGTCTGAAATTTCAGATAGGGGGTTGCATTTTGTCTGATATCGACCCCAATCCCCTCTCCCCCCCCCCCCCCCCCCCCCCCCCCCCCCCCCTTCTTCCCCCCCGATCCCTCGCTTCTCTAACAGCGCAGCCCCCCATTTGATGCCCTCGCTCCTCGTCCCTATATTACTGGCCTAGTCCAGCCCTTCTCCCCCTTTCCCCCAGCCTTAGGTCCCCTCCCCAGGTCCCCGCTCCTAGCCTAGCCCGCTTTCCTCTCGAAAAGTCTCGCAACAGCCCAACACCCCCAGCCGAACTCCCCCGAAGTCCTTGTCGCAGCCCAACACCCACCCCCCCTGCCCTCAGCATGCCGCGAGCTGCCCAACAACCTTCCACATTTAGGTTGTGTCGCCCTGAATCGATATACGGTAATACACTACACGATGCAATTTGAAAAAAAACAGACAGCACTATCTATTTCAGCTGAAAAATCAGACGTGGCGTTTGCACTCGTCTGAAAGTTCAGACTAACCTTTTTTCCTCGTCAAAACGTCAGACCAAACGAAATTTTTTATACATGTCTTCAGACGGGCTTGAATCCTAGCAAGAGCCCTGGTGTAGCCCCTCCTCCCCACTGCCCCCCTTCCCCCCCCCCCTCTCCCCCTCTGTCCTCCCCCTTCCTTTCCCCCCTCTCCCCTCTCCCGTTGCCTTCTCTCATTCCCAATTGTTTCCATTTTCAGCATAGAGCGGCTACTTGCAGTGGGCACCACTGTGCGCAGCACATTCATGCCTCCCCCACCCTCGTCTCCCCTTTCCCCTCTCCCTCTCTGCTTCACAACCTCCGCCATTCCAGCACGGAGTGGGCATCCGCAGCGGGCACCACTGTGCGCAGCCCATTCACCAGCAGCTGGGCATCAATGCGAGTGCGCGGGCGAGTGCGTATGTGTACAACACAAAGGAGGAGATAGACACGTTCATTGTGGGGCTCAAGGACACCATCGACTTCTTTGTTAACTTCTCCTGATCTAATCACCCGAGCATATTTCAAGCCGACCTACAAGAAGCAGCTGAATGCTTTTTGTTATTATAGAATTCTGCATGTTGCATGCGATGATGTAATTGAATTTCCTGTAAGTCTCAATAACTTCTCGCAATGACAACTCAGAGCACGACAGGACAGACAATGGCTTAGGTAGACCTCTCTCTCGCAGGCAGCTACGAGGCCGCCAACGCCAAGGCTGCCGTGAATGCCACCATAATGGTCACTGTGTCTGCAGCAGCTACAGACGACTCTACTTGCTACCTTATTACCATCTGTCCTACCAGCTGAGTCACGTTCCAAAGCAGAAGAGGCACACCACGAGGAAAAGGGGAAGGAGGGGTGGGTGTGTGCTGTTGGAATTGTGCGGTTGTACGAGAGAAAGGAAGGGAGATGAGGTGAGAGGAAGGATGGGGAAGGGAGGGGAGGAGTGAGTAGCGGAGCAAAGGATGAGGGTCGGGGCAAGAGTGGCTGGCGAAAGCTACCTATACCAAGTGCCACTCACAACAAGTGCTCCTCGAGCCTAACCCACGCGCAACCCTACCTCCTGCATACCCACATTGAGTCTTTCATACTGCATTCAAGCACTGTGTGTTGCTAGGGCAAGGCATGCTCTGCCTTACATGCATAACAGCGTTGCTCTGTTCGGATGCGGCTGTGCTGAGACATGTTAAGGTACGTACGTACGGAGGTATATACAATCATAAGGCAATAACACAACCCAACCCAAAACACACAACCCAACCCAACCCAACCCAGACACCAGAACGTAAACCCAAAACCACCACATCACATCCCAAAAATAAAGAACACTATGAGCAAACCCTGCTGCACCTCCCTCACCTATGGTATCGCTCCCTCCCTCCCCTGCTTCAGTTCAGTTCAGTTCAGTTGCATTTGTCGCGGCACTTCTGATCCTTCCTGTCGCACTTGCGGCTGTCGTGATGGTTATCGTCGTAGCACTCGTTCAGCTGCTCATCACACTTCTCAACGCACTCCTCCTGGCACTCGTTGAATGCGTCGTTCGCGTCCCCCTCGCACTCGCCGCGCTTCTCGTTGCATTTCTGCTCGTGCCGCCAGTCGCGCGCGCGGTCAATGCATTGCGTTTCCTTTTCTTCGCACCGATGCAGCTTCGAATCGTACTTGTCTGAGCATGTCTTGGAACTGTGCAGCACCCTCCGTGTGACTGTAGCGGGGGATGAGACTCTCGAGAATGAAGCTCGTGCACCTGCAGGGGGGAGGGGTCAATGCTCTTCTTTCATTACGGAGCTATAAAACCATGACTTCATGATGTGATGCGATCACTAAATTCTTCAGGATTTTGCGGTATGTGGGCAAGGCAATCATACCGTGAGCAGAAGGGAAGTCAAAGATAGTCAGGAGAACGGCGAGCAGGACGAGAAGGGAAGCGACGAGGAACTTCGGGCTTGCCATTTGGTAAGTCAAGATTCCTATTAGTTGAAAATCGGACGGATGGAAGCTGGAGAACCCTAAAAAACAGGTGAATGGTATTTGAATTAGGATGTGACTGGACTATTGAATGCTCGGCTGATGAATGCGATGGTAACGATCCGAGCGTCTGTCGTTTAAATATTCAGCATCGCGCCTAGAGCCGTCGGGCGAATTCTGGAGCACAGATTGCTGCACCGATCCGTAACCATCGTCGAGAAACATCCCCCGAGCTCCAACCGCTTGGCGCTTGGCGCTTCGAGGCATGAGGTCAAACCACTCGGCCAGACTCGCCGGGTGTGGCGCACGAAATATCCCGGGAGCACTACTCGCTCCACCCTCCCGCCGTTTGGCGCTTCGAAGCATGCGGGGCGTGTGCCAAACGGGATTCTCAAGAATTTGCCGGGTGCGGCCGTCGCGGCTTCGGCAAAATGCTTCTAGGAAGCTATGGCTGGAATCAAGAATTCGACTGTCAAACACCATCCAATCGCCACATGGCGATTGTCTGAGTTCTTGAGATTGCTACCTTGCTGACCATCAGAAATTCTAAGAGTAGGAGGGCGGGAAGTTGGTTGGGAACCTCGGAAAGTGAAGAAGCGAGCGGGAAGAAGGCCATTTGTTCGCCCTGCTGAGCTGGTGACACTGCTTTGACCAGGGAGGAACTTGTGTACTCCTTGTTGGCTACACCGTTTAAATTGTTGGAAGTATGCATTACGAACCTCTGTAATTCTTACACATTTTCCGGAATTTCAAGGAGTCACACTTATGCTATACGCATGAAACTTATGGGGCTTCTTGCTCAATATTCACTTTCAACCTTTTCAGAACACAGTAACGAGTCGCTGCAATTCCCGTGCTGTAAAGAAGTCAGTTCTCTCCCGCAACTCAACTCGATCACAAGTACAAGCCTCGATGCACACGCATCTGACAAGCAATCTCAGGACAGTAAACCGAATTACGTGTTGAAACAACAGAACGAGAATGATGGATTTGAACAGAAAGTTGGGTACAAGTATTATCCATAATTGGGTTGTACCCCTGATGGGCTACCCCACTGCAGCCTACAGAATGTAAGCACTATAACAGTTTGACACACCCCCATAGGAAAAGTGGGGGAAAACAAGTGGTCACAAGACCAGTCAAGAAAAGCAAAGCAAGCCCAGGGTGGATCACGAAGTCACCACACATTCCGAGCACAAGCAAATGTCCACAAGGCCAGTTCACATGCAGAGTTCTATAAAAGAGAACAAACAGTACAGTGATCATAGCCTAGCAAGAGTAAGCATGCAGGTATATACACAGATCACAGTACAAGCAAAGTCAAGCAGTGAGCAAGTGAGGCAAAGTAGGCACAAGGCCTAAAACCGTACAGAAACGCTGATGATCACCAGACTGAAGTGCCTTGCTGAATATATCAGCAGTGTTGGCCCGAGTGGCCACGTAAGCAAGACGAAGCTGACCACGCTGCTGCAACTCTCGAGCAAAGAAGTAACGCAGAGCGATGTGCTTCGTTCTGTGCTCCAGTCTGTGCTCCTGACACAAGGAAGTCATAGTCTTGTTGTCTACATACAGAACTGGAGAAGAACAAGGCTGCTCTCCCAAGTCGGTCAGCAGGTAGGTGAGCCAGCGTAACTCTTGTGCAGCCATGGCCCATGCGTAGATCTCAGCCTCACAACTGGAACTGAGAACAGAAGACGAGCGGGTAGACCGCCAAGAAACAGAGCCGGAGCCAAGGCTGAAGGTGTAACCCTGTGACGTCCGCTGCGTAGCCAAGTCGTCAACCCAAGAAGCGTCTGCGTGTCCAGTGAGGATAACTGGGCCCCATCCTCCAAGAACTAGCCCCATGTCCGATGTACTGCACAAGTAGCGCAACACCCTCTTAGTGGCCTCCCAGTGCTCTGGTCGATGTCTCCCGGGCGCAACGTAGCGTGCCATGATGCTAAGAGGGTAGGCAAGGTCAGGTCGAGTGCAGGTCATCAGGTACATGAGGCAGCCCACAAGCTCTGGATACGGGCCACTCGGCTCTACGGACTCGTCCGAAGGTGGAGCTGAGAGCGAGTGACTAGTAGGCAGAGGAATGGAGTGTGGTGAGGAGTATCGGAAGACGAAGCGCTGAAGGACCTGGTGCACCATGTGTGACTGAGTCAGGGTGATGGTGCGCCGTGCTCTGTCCCGAGTGATCTGCAAGCCAAGATAGCTGCGCAGCTCACCTAGGTCAGTGCAGGTATGTCTCTTCTGCAACTCCGACTTCACAACGGCTAGTGCCTCAGTGTCAGCAGTGGCAAAGACCAAGTCGTCGACGTACACGAGGACGTAGAACGGTGGCAGCGAAGTGTCGGTGCGCAGAAATAGCGACGGGTCAGCAGTCGAAGGAGCAAACCCAAGAGCCGCAAGCGTCGACCTCAGTGTGTCGTGCCACTCGCGAGGCACCTGGCGGAGACCGTAGAATGGCCGCCGGAGGCACCACTGGGTACCTGCAAGAAACGACCCAGTGAAGCGAGGTGGACGGTGCAGCCAGATCTCCTTGTGCAGGCTGCCCTGCAAGAAAGTTGTGCTGAAGTCAAGAGAGTGCAGCTCGTAGTCACGCTAAGCGGCGACGTGCAGCAGAACCCGAAGATTGGTCATCTTCGGGGTAGGGGAGAAGGTCTGGAAGAAGTCAACTCCCTGTCGCTGACTGAGGCCTCGTGCAATGTAACGAGCCTTGAAGACAGGCGGAGAACCCGGCGGCCGCTTCACCCTGGAAATCCACATGCCATCGACTATGTTCGCCCCAGAAGGAGGAACTGCGTCGACGTAGGTGCCTGTGGACTTTTAGGATGCCATCTCTGCGTCCATGGCTATCTGCCATTGAGAGGAGTAGGGACCCGTAATCGCCTCTGCGTAAGAGCGCGGGGTCGGGATGTCTAGTGCATCCGGGTCTCCCTCAGGTGCAAGCAGCATGGCCACGAGACGAGGTACAGCAGCTACAAGACACTCAAAGTCCTCCTGCCTGTCCTCAAGGACGTCCGTGCCAAGAGCACACTCACCCACGACGGATGGAGGACAGTCAGACTCAGACTCAGCAACAAGAGCAGTGGCGTAGTCTAGACGACAGGCAGCAGCAAAGTCAACTAGCTCAGCAACGAGGGCAGACGCAGTAGTGGACTCAAAGGAAGGGTTAGTGACCAAAGTGGCGAGGAGACGAGAAACAGTGGGACTGGCAGCACGAGCGCGATCAGACTCAGGGTCAGGGAGGGCAGGAAGAGAGGACAAGCGGCAGCAAATTTAACAAGCTCAGCAACTAGGGCAGACGGAGCAGCGGACTCAAAAGAAGGGTCATTGACAATAGTGGCGAGGAGACGAGAGACAGTGGGACTGGCAGCACGAGCTAGGTCAGACTCAGGGTCAAGTATGGCAGGAAGAGAGGACTCAGGAGGAGGCGGCAGAGGAACTCGCAGTGTAACAAAGGAAGGACGAAGTGCCATAACGTGGGCGCCGGGGACAGGAGGAGGACGCGGACGAGGTACCCGACGACCAGTGCGAACAGCGCAAACAGG